GTAGAACGATTTGTAATCCTTTGGATATATACCCAGTAATGGGATTGCTGGGTCAAATGGAATTTCTATTTCTATGTCCTTGAGGAATCGCCACACTGTTTTAAATGACTTGGCACTCACTGTGAGCTCATGTTTGGTTCTCTGTCTTCTCTACAACACTAATGTCTAAGTCAGCACTCATATGCATTGTCTCCTAAGAAATCAGTAATTCAGAGTTTCCATCTCTACCTACACTTATTTTTTCTTGTAGCTTCCAAAATGAGAATGTTTGTAGATACCTTTATGGTTGTTACTATTACAAAAATCTCACTCCGATCTTCTTGTTCCCATATATTTCAATTAAAAAAAAAAACTATGTGTCTAACTCTTAAAAAAAAAATTACACACTCTAGGTAAACAAACTCTGGTCCTAGAAAACCAAGATTTTTTTTTTAAGCACCAGCTCAGCCACCATAGAGAACTAGTCTCTACCTCAAACCCAGAGCCACAGCACCTCTGCACTTACACATAGTTCTATCACAAGTTCCCTGGCTATTTCAAAAGCACCTGCACCTTGCATGCCATTATAGTTTGGGCAGTGGAATACCTGGGCCCAGATACTGCTGCCATTACTATCCCAAACCATGGATCTGAAGTACGTCCATTCATACCTGTGCTTATAGCTTCAGATCCATGGCTTCCCCTAGGGTACCCCTCATCAGACAACCATGCCAACATCACCACAAGCAGTTTCTCAAGCTGGACCCCGTGCCAAGAGGGATTCTCTCAGCCACAACATCCCCAGTGGGAGAAAAAGAGATAGAAAGAACTTCAGCAGCCATAGCCACCAAAGATGGCAACAGTTTTTGTCACCATTTCAACCATTTATGTCATTGGCTACTGAAGTTCCCTACAATGTTCATTAATGGCAACCTCAGCTGACAGAGCCATACAGACACGACACTGCTGCACCTTCACAATAGTCAGAGTAGTTGTGTTTTACTCAGCCAGTGCCCTCACACCTCCACATAGGGGAAGTTCTTTCCTTATTGAAACCAGCCTGTAAAGTCTGGAAGACATTACTGCTCCAAAAAATGCAAAGAAATCTACTTAAGACAACAAGAAACATGAAAAACCAAAAAGGAATATCATGACCAAAGGAACACAATAATTTTCCAGTATCTGACTGGGATACAGAGACCTATGAACTACCAGACCTAGACTTCATGATAATTGTCTTAAGGAAGTGTAGTAATGTTCGAGAATGTACAGAGAATAATTCAACAAAATCAAGCAAATAACAAACAAAAAATGGAGAAATTTGATGAAGAGATTGAACTTGTTTTTAAAAATCCAGAAATTTGTTTAAAAATCAATAACATAAAAATATGTAAATTGACAGTGACAGTACAAACATAAAATGTGGGGAGGAGGTAGAACAAAAGTGTAGACTTATTAAATGCAATCGAAGTTAGGTATTTATTGACTGAAAATAGTGTATGATAACCATAGGATATGTTACGTAAGCCTTATGGTAACTACAAAGCAAAAATATATAGAACATACACAAAAACAAAAAAGTAAAGAATCAA